TCAAGGTCTCTCTAAGTGTAAATAAATGGTGACTTGGTGACGGTATAGTGGCCTTTGTGGAGTTATTTCACTGTACAAGTACAAAGATATCTTCATGTAATGGTACATTGCTGAGACCATTATACACTGTTGTGGACTGCATGTTTAAGTTAGCTGCAAGTCTTCATTAGATTGGCCCCTGAGAAGAGAGGGTTATCTTCTGCTGAGATGCTCAATAAATTGTCTCATAACAAGACAAGGAAGTACTCAATGAATGGCAGGACTCTAGGTAGCTCAGAGGATAGACAGAGTGCACAGAGGAGTGGAGGAGTGGGATCTTGCAGTGTGTGTCCTCAGATCCTGGAAGGTGGCAGGACAGGCTAATAGTTTGTTAAGGAGGTATGTAGGCCTTTATCAGTTGTGGCAGAGATCATAAGAGCAGGGACATTACAGAACTTTGGTGAGGCCACAGCTCGAGAACTGTGTACAGTTCTGGTCCCTGCACTATAGGAAGGATGTGACTGCACTGGAGGGGGTGCAGAGGGAGATTCACTAGGATGTTGCCTGGAATGGAGCATTTCAGCGATGAAGAGAGACTGGATAAGCTCAGGTTGTTTTCTTTAGAATAGAAAAGGCTGAGGAGGGAACACGATTGACGATGTATAAGATAATGAGAGGCATTGACAGGGTGAATAGAAAGCAGCCGTTCCTTTTGTTTAAAGGCCCAGTTAGAAGGGGAAATAATTTTAAGGTGAAAGGCAGAAGGGGATTTGAGGAAATATGTTTTTGCTGAGAGGCAGGTAGGGGTCTGGAATGCGCTTCCAGGGAGGGTAGCTGAGGCAGGAAGCCTTTCAACCATCAAAAAAAATACTTGGATGAACACTTCAAAGCTGTGGGTCCAGTGTGGGGAAGTGGGATTAGTATAGACAGGATGGAGGAAATTTTATAGGCCTCCTCTTATGCTGTCTGAACCTGTAACCTCCTCAGTTTAGACAAATGAGAGGTGAAATCATTAGGAACATACAGGATTCTGAAGGGGCGTGACAGGATAGTTACTGGGAGGCCGGCGCCGCTAGAGAGGATAGATCTCCTGGGACAGCCTCAGGCCCAGTCCCAATCATTTAGGACTGACTTGAGGAGAAATGTCTTCGTTTGCAGGGTCTGAGAGTTAAATCTCTGAAATTCTCTCCCCATGAGGGTTGGGAATACTGCATCATTGACTGTATTTACAGCCGAGATCTTTTATCTTCTTGCACAATCAAGGGATATAGGCAGGAAAATGGAATTGAAACCTGAGATCAGCTGTGATTGTGTGGTAGAACAGACTAGAGGGGCCGAATGGTCTACTTCTGTCCTATTGCTTATGTTTTTACGATACGTGCCTTCACAGGCAGAGTTAAGGGAGAGCCATGGCCTGAGGCCATGTTGATGTAAGGTGGTTTGTAGCTCAGGTTGTGCTGGTGATCCTACTTGATCGCGCCTGTATCATGTTTATTTACTGCATGTTCTCTGTGTCAGGATCCAACCCGTGTGCTCAGTCCTGTCATCGACATCATCAACATGGACACCTTCGCTTATGTGGCAGCTTCATCAGATCTGAGAGGAGGTAGGTCAGTCGATAACGCAGAAGAAAATCCCTCTTTTGTAGCTTTACCCATGTCATTCTGAAATGAAGCTTCTCATTGGAAAGGATCCCAAGCCATCGAATGGGGTCTTTAGGAGATGTCGCAGAAGGTGAGTGCGATCCAGGGGTAGGTGGGAAATGGATTCTCAACATGGCTTCCTGGAAGGCGGAATATTTGGGGGTATATGGAGAATGTGTCCAGGATGTGAGGTCAAGATCACTCAACTCGTGAAGTAATTTCAAACATGGACAAAAGAGTTGAATTCTAGAGGTGTGGTGTGAGTGAGAGTCCTCACCATCAATGGGTATCAGGGGGCAAACTCTCCGCTGGGTGGAGTCATACCTGGCACTCAGGGAGATAGTAGTCATTGGTGGATGCCAGTTATCTCAGCTCCAGGCCATCTCTGCAGGAGTTCCTCTGGGCAGTGTCCCAGGCCCAACCATCTCCAACTGCTTCATCAGTCACCTTCCCTCCATCATAAGGCCAGAAGTGGGAATGTTCACCAATGATTGCACAATGTTCAGCACCATTTGCTACTCCTCAGATATTGAAGCAGTCCGTGTTCAAATGCAACAAGATCTGGACAATATCTAGGCTTGGGCTGACAAGTGGCAAGTGACATTTGTGCCACACAAATGCCAGGCTGTGACCATCATCAATTAGAGATATTCGGTGGCATTCCCATCGCTGATTAACATCCTTGAAATTACTATTAACCAGAAACACAACTTGATAGCCTTTACAAATACAATGCCTACAAGAGTAGATTAGGGCTAGGAATCCTTTAGCAAGTACCTCCCCAAAGCTTGTCCACCATCTACAAGGCACAAGCCAGGAGTGTGATGGAATATTCCCCACTTGCCTGGATGGGTGCAGCCCCAACAACACTCAAGAAGCTTGATACCATCCAGGACAAAGCAGCCGCTTGATTGGCACCACATCCACAAGCATCCACTCCCTCCACCACTGATGATCAATAGCCGCAGTGTGTGTATCTATAAGATGCGCTGCAGAAATTCACCAAAGATCATTACACAGCACCTTCCGAACCCACGACCACTTCCACCTGGAAGGACAAGGGCAGCAGATACATGGGAACATCACCACCTGCAAGTTCCCCTCCAAGCCACTCACCATCCTGACTCGGAAATATATCGCTGTTCTTTCATTGTCGATGGATAAATGTCCTGGAATTCCCTCCCTAATGGCATTGTGGGTCAACGCACAGCAAGAGGACTGCAGCGTCTCAAGAAGGGAGCTCACCCCCACCTTCTCAAGGGGTAGGTAGGTGGTTTGAGGTCCTGCTGACAACTGTGAAGGGTGGTCACGGGATATGTTGAGATGCTCAGACTCGGGGGACTTCAGGGTGTTGTAGGGGGGAGCTGAATTTCAAAGAAGGAACCAAGGTTTGGGTGAGCTGAGGCTGAAAAGGATTTTGTAGGTGACTCCAAGGAATTTATTTTGACCATTCAGCAGAACAGAGAGCCAGGATAGGTCACATAAGATGCAGATGATGGATCAGCAGTTCTTGCTGTGCAGTGGTTGTCCAGAGAGAAACCATTGGAAGAAATGAGTTGATGAAAGCATGGATAGGAGTTCTAGCAGTTAGAGACCGAAATGGGGTACAAGTGGGTGATACCAACCAACAGGAAACAAGGACAACTGGACCATTTTCAAGCTGTAAGTAGCGAAGTGCCTGACAAGAGTTACAAGGAGAAGGCAGGGGAATGGGGTTGAGAAATATATCAGCCACAATCAAATGGTGGAGCAGACTTGATGGGCTGAATGGACTAATTCTGTTCCTATACCTTGTCTTATAGGTCAGTGCTGGGACCTCAATGACTTAGGATCTACATAAATGACTTGGATGAAGGAACTTTGTGCTTTGTAGCCACATTTGCTGAGGTTATGTTGATAGGTGGGGAGGTCAGTTGTGAGGATGATATCTAGAGGTTATAATTTCCATTTCAATATTGAGGGGGCAGCTCTCTGATTGGCTGTTTGTTGTATTTTCCCAGGGTTTGACTGGAGCCTCCATTTTAAATGGGAGCAGATGACACCAGAGATCAAGGCCAAAAGGCTTCAGCCCATCGAACCAATCAGGTAAGAGGCAGCATGTGAGGAGGCAGGTCCCGGGGGCTGGACAGGGGGAGGGGGAGGGGGGAGGATGGTGTAAGGAAGGGAAGGAGTGGGGTTAACACGCCACAGATCCTGGGGCAATGGGAACCAGGAAGGAGCAGGCCTAGGATCCTTTGACACCCTCTGCCCCAGTGCCCAACACTCCCTCTGTCACTGGGACACCCGCTCCCATCGAACCTGACAGCCCCCTGTTCCTGTTCCCTCGGAGACCACCGACTCC